TTTGAAAAAAATAAATATTTCATCTTTGAGTTTTTTTTTGTTTCATTCATGTGTACAATTTTAGGCTATTTTAGGCTAAAATTTGATGTTTTTACAAAAAACTTTAAAATTTCAAATTTTTTTCATAACTAATAATTAAAATTCATTATTGGAACTATTTTATTTAATATTTCGAAAAAAAAATCCAATTTGACAAAAAAAAAATATTTCCTGGTAAACCACCTTAATTTTATATAAAAATATGTTTTATTAATTTATATTCATTTGATTGAGGGTATTTAAGTTGTGGACTTGTTTTTCACTCAATAGAATTCACTAGAACTAAGTCATACGATAAGTATAAGTATAATTATTATAGTTTAAAAATAGGTTTGAAAATATTTCTTCTAATTTTAGATCAGTTTATGATTTACATATGTAAGTTAAACAATTTATTTTAATTAGAAGTTTTGAAATAATCTTATTTAAAGACAAATATAAATTTTTACAAATATTCATAAAAGTATTCTAATTTTTTATTTTTAGTACCTTTAAAACTTTTTTTTTTTTAAGCTTCACCTTAGTTAATTCAAAGTGGTATGAATTGGCTAAAAATGATATGAATTAGCTAAAAGTGACATAAATTAGCTAAAAGTGATATGAATTAGGTAAAAGTGATATGAATTAGCTAAAAGTGATATAAATTGGATTAAAAAAAGGCTAATATGCTTTAGACGCCATTTTTTAAATCTAAAAGTAAAAGAAGCCATTCAACCGCTGACTTTAATAATAACAATTTTACATAATTAATAACGGTTAAAAACTATTGTAATATATAATAAGTTGATCTATGACCCAGTAAAAATTTCTTAAAATACAAAATTACTAGTATTTTTATTTAAGGTACCCCAAGAAGATCTAACGGTCTTGTCATAAAGCACCGCGGAAGTGTATTTAACCAGGAAGTTCACGTCTCCTTCCCTACCAAAACGCGAAAATATGTCCAGAACTCGTTTAGAACTTGGATCTATCTCCTGCTTATAAAGCTAGCGCTCTAAACACTCTAAAACTGTTTAAAATTCCAGCTTTCCTAATTTAAATATTACAATTTAATTTATTTTTTTAAACTTTATTATATATCTTTCGCGCATGTGGCTCAGTATGACTGAGGTCTAAAGATGACAATTCAACAATTTTTTTGAAGCTGATTAACTTTAAGCATAAAATATTCTTATCCGCTAAATTTTCTTAAGCGGATAAATATATTTTGGGCTTGTAGTTGAGCAATGTATTCCCTAAAAGAGCTCCTATCCTAAAAACTATTTATCAAAATCGTTTACTTTATAAAAAGCATTTCAGAAACAAAAGTATAAAACTATTTATCAAATTCGTTTACTATATAAAAAGCATTTCACAAACAAAAGTATAAAACTATTTATCAAATTCGTTTACTATATAAAAAGCATTTCACAAACAAAAGTATAAAACTATTTATCAAATTCGTTTACTATATAAAAAGCATTTCACAAACAAAAGTATAAAACTATTTATCAAATTTGTTTACTATATAAAAAGCATTTCAAAAACAAAAGTATAAAACAATATGTAAAGTTACAAATAATTCCTTGACACAACACTTGTGACAAAGATAGATATAAACAAATTGTAAATATGATCTATTTGTATTTTTATTAAATGTAATTCTAATCTTATTAAAGATATATAAATAAATAGCTAAAAAAAATCTTTTGAATAATTTTACGCAGAGTAACTACTTAATTTAATTGAAGAAGCGAGTTTATGTTGGTTAAGCGAGTTAAATTTTTGGCTTGAAATATTCAAATGAAAACAAACTGGTTTAATGAAATGTTTGTTTGTTTTTTTTGCGTAACGTAAGTAACACAGCATATAATCAACTTTAATTATTTAATCAACTAGAATTCCTAAACTTATAACAATTGAACAAAATTTAAATAAACACACAAAAAAAATCATTTTGGGATGATTCATATATATATATCAACGTCTAATCTCTTAAAATATATATAATATATATATATATATATATATATATATATATATATATATATATATATATATATATATATATATATATATATATATATAAAAATGTGACGTTACAATAATCAAATTATCCTGTAAGTAACAGTGGAATTGCCCATATAAGTATTTTTTTGTAAATAATTTCAATGGTTCGTCTGCCTATAATCAAAATCTAGTAAATTCAAATAAGTTTTTTTATTCAGAGCAAGCATAAAACAATTTAATTCTAGTGCGGCTTGCAGCCAAATCAAAAATTTTTATAAGTATTGTTCATAAAGTACGAACGCTCAGATGGGGAAGAGAGAGAGTCTGCAAATGACGTATACGAGATGGAGGCAGGGGGTTAATTATAAAATTAAGGAGACACTAATGTAAAAAAAATATTATAAAATGTTGGGTAGATAGGTTTATAGCGTAAGTACTTTTAAGGAGGTGGATGGCATTTAAAGTGTACAGCAAAAAAAAAAAAAAGCGGAGGAGGAGGGTCAAAATAAAAGCGTGCATACGTTATGGACGACCCCTAACAGCTGTTTTATCATTATTTAAATAGGATTTAATATGTCTATATAAGCTTTCTACTATGTAGAAAATATTATGTGCTTGGTAATGGAACCAAAAGTTCATTTTCAATGCAGATTTATGACATTTTTTTGTAGGTGGACCATTTTTAAGGCCGTTTACACTCAATTTTTTCAAAATAACTAAACGTTCTCTCCCGTGTATTAAGAACTTAAGGATAATTGGTACAGGAAAAATAATAGATTATTAACTGTGCAGTATCAATTATCATTCAATTAATTCTCAGAATTAATTTTCTTTGATTTATTTTGCTTTCTTCTATGACACTGTTTTTATCTTAATGCTTCTCTTTTGTCATATTTGCGTTGCACTTTCAAAACCAATTTTATTTGATAAAAATGGTTTCAAATTGAAATTTGAAAACAGAAGTTTAGTTTTCCAGAGAACACATGAAAGTAATATAAAGATTCTAATTGCAGCCATAACCGCAGTGGTTAGAGCGCTTGCTTTAGAAGCAGGAGATCCAAGTTTGAAATGAGATTTGGACATTTTTTTTGCGTCACGATATTAAAGGAGGCGTGAACTTCCTGGTTAAATACACTTCCGCGGTGCTCTGTGACAAGACCGTTAGGTCTTCTTGGGGCACCTAAATAAAAAAATTTAAAAAAATAATAATTAAAAAAATTATTATTATTATTAAGAGAGATTAAAGAGTAATATAGATCAGTAAAGAAAAGTAAAAGAATGAAGTTAAAAAAAAGACATATCTTTGATGGTAGAAAATGTCATACGAAAACAACTGTACATGATGGAAAGTATCACTAAAAGGAAATCAAAGAAGATCATTGATGTTTCTGTTCTGAACCAGGTGGAAATTCATTTCACAAATTTATTTTTGCATTGTAAATAACTATGAAAAGTAAGAGAAGTTTGAACACGTGCTAAACATCTTGCTGAACAACTATATGATTGGATCACAACAGATGGAAACCAATTAGTTGCATTCAGGGGCGGATCCAGACCATGTCGTAAGGAGAGGGGGGAGGGGCTATTTCAATTTTTTTTTTAGATTTGAGGGATGCAAACGATCTGGTAAGGGGAGGGGAGCGATTTTCAGATTTAATGATTTGTAAGCAAGCAACCACACAATTTTTAATTTTATTTAAATTTTAATTTTATTTAGACAGCATGACTATATTATTTCCGTTTTCAAACAAGTTGCCAGTTTAATATGTAAACTTACAAATTGAAAAAAATTCCAAAACATTCTAAGGGAGGGGGGGGCGGTCGCACCTATCGTTCCTCCCCCTTCGCTTTATATCGGCTCTTGGTTGAATTTGGAGCAGACTCGACTAACTTTAATACAGGTTTTATTTCTTTTAGTAATGAAACTTTTATTATTTATATGTAGTTGAATTTACTGAAAATAAAAAAATATATATAAACTCTTAAAAACATATTAGATAAAGTAAAATAATTTTTTGTCAAACATAATACTGTAAAAAATATTTTTTTATTGTATTATGTTTGACAAAATAACTAATATTATTTGTAAATACGAAATGTGTCTTATTATCCGCTATGTATATGAAAACATTTAAAAGTTTTCTTGGATTTGTTGACACATAGATAACAATGATGATATTACAATGAAACCAGTCATAACAAAAAAAAAATAGCCAAAGCTGTTTTGAACTTCGTTAAAAAATTCTTCGTCAGAAATTCAATTAAAATGTAAGTTTTTTTGAACTTTGTCAGAAAATTATTCGTCAGAAATTCAATTAAAATGTAGGTTACTTTTGAACTTCGTCAGAAAATTCAGCTTAAATGTTTCTTTGTTAGAAATAGATAGATACAGATGCAACTCAATGATAATGGAACATAAAGATGGAATTTTTGAACTTCAGAAGGTATTACAAAATGCTTTAAAATGCCCGTTCAGATGTCATTCAATGAATCTTTCAATTTTAAAGAGTTCAAATATAAAAGAGGTTGAAATGCGATTGGAACAATCAAAGAAGTGGTTGGTTTTTTTTAAAATGTTGTTTTAAAAAAAAAAATCAAGGGCCAACTTAAATCTCTTTGTAAAACAAGATGAGTTGAGAGACAAGAATCCACATTACACTTCAAATCAAGTGTTATAAATATTTATAGATTGAACACTATGCTCAAATGGAGAGATCAAGAAACGTCTTCAAAAGCCGGTTGTCTTAAAACATACCATAATTACAACAAATTTTCTTTTGCTCTATGATGTTTGATATAAATTAATTAAATTAACATAGTTAAATTAAAACTTAATTAATAATTTAACAATTTAGCTCTAACTATTAATTAAAGTAAAATTTTGCAAACAAAATGAGTAGACAAACTTTATGCTGTTAATTGTATTCAGAATATAGTAAAAATAAATGAGCAAATTCCAAACAGTATTGTAAAAGTCTTTACAAAGACAAACGGGTATGACTAGTTGCCGAGGAAACGAATTTGAAAATGGTACAGTCTATCAGTCAAATCATGGTACAGTCTATCAGTCAAAATAGCGTCTGTGCAGAGAAAAAGGAAAAATATTAAGTGTAGTTTGTAGGCTTTGAAAGCTGTAATCGAAGTGGATTACTGTCTTAAAAGTAGGCTGGATAAGTTTTAAAAAACAGTTGGAACTATCAAGAAGTAATCACAACAAAATCACAATCAAGGTAAAGTAATCGTTTGTCTCTATTCCACACTTGATAAGGTTATAATAGGGATACTGTTAAAATTTTTACAAATTTGGTTTGTACCAAACGTGGACATGTAACATTCAACACTAACTAGGATGTACGATAGACACACAATTGGTTTAAATCTTCACTGAATATAAACAACATTTAAGTTATTAAAGTTTTTATTACACAAGTTATTAAAAGCCAGAGGTCTGGGCATCAAAATTTCAAGTTATTAAACAGAGCAGAGGTCTGAGCATCAAAATTTCAAGTTATAGTATGACTAATGTAAAACATGAATAAAGCACAAAAAGTAAGTAAAAAAGTATATATATACAGTACGGCGTTCCAGACCGTTCCGGCTCTACATCACTGTTTGCAATTGTTTTGAAAATTTAGAAACTAACAAGTTTTATGCTGTAGAATTGTTTTTAAATGTTTCTTGTTATTAACACGTTTTATTTTAACACATGACTGATATAAATAATCAAATATTAGTGTTTACGTCATTTTTTAAGTGATTTAAAATATTTATACTTGCTGGCCAAGGCGCAAGATTTTTAAAAGAGTAAAACTATGTAACAAGACACAGCTTGAAATACCATCAATCTGGTCCTGATCAGTCTTTATAATAATGATAAAGTTTAAATCTCAAGGTCACAAACGTGAGTTTTTACGGACACGAAGCAAATGTATCAATTTTTGCTCTCTGTTTTTCTTACCCTCGTTTTTTATTCTCAAATCTTTATTGCTGTTATATTGATTATTTTTTCTCTTGATTCGAAGTTTTAATTTAAAAATAAAATTAATTTTAAATTAAACCAATTTTAATTGGTTTAATTTTGTTCCTTCAAAAATCAAAGAAAAAAGAAACAAAAATGTTCGAGGAGTTGAGAAATTATTCCTATAAAGACCGACTGTGGTTCGACATTCCTTTTTTTAAAGTACAAAGAGTTAGAGATAATAAAATAGTAATAATAATATTGGTAATAATAATACTAATAACAATAATAGTAATAACAGTAATAATAATAATAATAATAATAATAATAATAATAATAATAATAAAAATAATAATAATAATAATAAAAATAATAATAATAGTAATAATAATAAAAAAAAAAACATTAATAATGATAAAAGTATTAAAGTAAATATAAAAGTAGAAAAATAAAAAAACATTTTTTAAAATTATCTTTAAATATTTTTTAAAAGGTTTTTGTGCCTTTTTTTGCAAAAGCGATATTTTTTAATTTAAACTTGAAAGCCATGTTATTAGGATTTAATGTAAAAAAACAACATTGTATGTATACCATGATGTGGTTTTTTATATTTGTGTCTTGTGAAAAATGAATAAATATGTTGTAGTTAATATTTAAAATTAATCAATACTAAGTTATGCAATTCATAATTGAACTTGTTTGAATTCATATTTGTATTTGAAACATATCCTTGTTTAATTTAAAAACAAGTTAATGGGGAAATATCTGCATATGAGCAATAAGAGAGATACAAGAGGTGTAAAAAAATATATTTGAGCGCAAGCAATTTCATAAAATTTCTTTCAATAGAAGACATGAAAAACTCGGCAGGGACACAAACCGATGACTTTGTTTGCTTTTGTACAAACCAAATTTATATTTGCTATGAAGATATTAAATTGATCGACATTTCAATGGTTGTCCAATTGGATGGAGTCAGTGAAAATGGAGTTTTTGTTGCGAGAAATTTTGAGGGAGGAAGCACACAAGCTTCAAAAAATGTACTCCGAGTTTTAAGTTAGTACCATCTTTTTTGTTTGTTTCATGTTTACTGTTTACTTAACTATTTTTTTAAGTTAAAAAGTTGAACAACCGTATAATTAGGAAGCAATAGATAAGTAGTTTCCGGTTAAAAATGTTTTTTTAACTAGATGTTTAGAGGCGATGATTTAGATGTTATGATGCGAAACTTAAAACAGCAATACCTGATGAGAATTTAAGTTACTGAAGCAATAACAAATAACAAATTAAATCAACTTAACATCAAATGATAGTTAGATACCATATTTAACATTAAATGATATGTGATTTCATATGATACCACAAGATATTTTAGAATTTCAGTTATACAATATGAGTCAATTATATAACTCTCAGTTTTTGTATAAGTTTACTATTTTAAATTACAAATCTTTTATTTTAAATAAATTACCGAATTAATGCCGTTATAACTGATACTTTAGATACAAGTATTGCATTATACTGTAACCGATACTGTAAGATTTTAGATTAATACAAGACGATAAGCCAGATTCAATACCGCTATATAAATACAGATTATCTAACGCTAAATGATTTGAAACTTTACTCATATTTATAAAATAAAACAACCTTTTTTTATACTTTTTTTTTTAGGAGGTGTTTTAAAAAGAAAATCAATTTTCAAAATGACCCCATCAAAAATGCTTCCAAAAGATGTTTCATTAACGGATTATCAAGAACCAATAATTTTAAAAAGTGGCATTTATATGCGCAAAGTTACTGGTGACATCGAAAAGTTCTTCCGCAGTAAGTGTTTTCTAGAGTGCGTTGGCATTGCTGATAATAAATCTAATCCAGATAGAAATAATAGCGTAATTGAAAAAGTTAAAGAAGAAAATGAAAAATATGAAAACCCTTTAAAAAATTTCAAAGAACAAAAAAATTCTAATCCAGCGTCTGATCCAGTTACTGGACAAGCAAACACTCAAGTTATTTACCATGATCATCCGCTAATTAATTCAAAATTTCCTTTCCTTAGTGCTCAAAATCAAGCGTCAGAGCAAAACTGTTCACAAAATAAATTTGGCAATCTTGAAAAAATTCCTTTGGTTTTGGAATCAAAAGAAAAGCAATGCCTTAGAGAAGAGCCATTTTTTCCTTTTTACAACAAAAAAATAGAAACTTCAAAAATAACATTTAACCAAGAAAATTTTCAAGCAAAAAAGAACATCATTGAACATAAAGTAATGTCTTCGGAACCATACAACCATGCATTAACACCACCAAACAACGGTAGACAAGGAATAGATTTTTCCAAAAATTTTAAAAAACAACAGCGTAATTCCAAAGAATCCCATCATCCCATTTTCTATTCTTCTCCATTAATTAGAAAACACTTTAACCCTCAAGAATCTTCTCCGGTCAAGAATAAAATGCAAAAACCTTTTTCTCGAAAAGCAATGCCTCAAAATAATTTACGCAGAAATGGCTCGCTGCATTCTTTAATGTCTTTAAGTTTCAACGAGTCTGACGATGATTTTATGACATCGTCTCCTCTTGAAAGTCCAAAAGCACAAATTAACGAGTATGCTTGTAATGGAGTATTTACATATGTTTAGATTTATCTTCACAATACATAGCCAAAATATCAAAATATGTAAAGTAAAAAAAAATTGTTTTCAAAAAGTTTTATATTGGATTTTAATTTTATTTTAAAAAGGACTGAACAAAATTTCAAACAAGTTTGCTCATTTCAAACATTCTCGATAAAAACTTATGAACGATTTAGTTTATCTCAGGCATTCCAAAAAGCAAAATGTTAACTAAACCCAGTTTATGTATAACGATTCATATGTACTTAAAATATATCACAGTGCTTATAACTTAGTTCAATGTTTTTATAGTGCTTACGCTTTTAAGATTTAATTTTTTTAATGTCTTTTGTTAATGTTAATGACGACTTCAACCAATAACACATTTTTTTTTGTCAGGTTAGAAGCAGTAAAAAAAAAAACTATTCTCAAAAGAATACGAGTATATTATCTAGTGAGTTGACAATTTTTTATTTTTTTACTATGAAATTAGGTAATTCCAAATTCGGAAAAAATCAAAATTTTATGAACAGCAAAAAGTAATTTACTACACAAAGTCAATCTCAAAACTAAATTAAATAAACGCTTATAAATTTTATAGTTAGTATTATTTTCGGGCATTCAATTTTAAAAATATTACTATGCGTCAACGTTTTATTTTGTTAGATTTAATCATTTACTTTTATATTTAAGAGCTTAAAAAAAGTTTTTGATCAACTTTGAAACTTTAGAAAATGCTTTATTATAATGTTTAAGAAATTCAGTTAAAAGATATACAAGTCTTTATCCCTGTATATAAATTTGTTAGATTTTCGTTCCGATTTTCACACGATATAATGTCATAAATAAACTTAACGAAAGTATCGTTTAATAATTATGTTTTTACATTCCTTTTTTAAGCATGAGACTTATTGCATTTATTTGGTATAATAAAAAAATATTTAAAAAAAAAACAACCGGAATATGATTAGAAATACTTGTTTAAACGATTTCAGTTTTTATTTTTGCACTAATAAATTGATTAATTTATTGATGTCGTTGTACTTAGTTACTCACAAGGGATCATTAATGTAAATAGTATAAATAAATGTATCTGAGTTGAAAAATGACGACAAAATATTTATTAACTTGTTTATTAACAAATATTTAAATAGATAACTATTATATGTTTATTATTTAAAACTTGCTGCACAAGCTAAAATCATATGGAGTGTCCGACAACTTGCACAATTGGATCAAAAGCTGGCTAACCGACCGGCTACAACGCGTAACCATTGGTAACAATAGGAAAACTGTCTCTAGCGGTGTGCCACAAGGATCTGTTTTTGGACCACTCCTGTTCCTTATCTAATTTAACGATTTGCCAGACAAAATACAACACCACTTTAAAATGTATACAGATGACTGTAAAATAATCGGAACTATAGAATCAAACCATGACATCATAAAACTCCAAGCCGATATCAGCGAAGCAGTGAAGTGGTCGCATACATGGCTCATATCATTTAACATCGAAAAGTGTAAGTCATGCACACCGGGCGCCGCAACAAAAAAAATCGACTGCAATTTATACATTGATTAACATGGACGGCCAACTGCACCAGCTATCATGCACGACATCTGAACGAGACCTAGGCGTTTTTATAACGAGTGACCTAAAAGTTAAAAAACAAGTCTGTGCGGCTGCATCAGCTGGCAACCGAATGCTTGGCAGGCTCAAGAAGGCTTTTCGAGGTCGAGGTTCTGCATTATGGCGCACACTGTATATTTTTTACGTTCGCCCACACCTAGAATTCGCAGAACAGGCCTTGTCACCGTTTTTAGCTCAAGACATTGCGAAACTTGAGCAAGTTCAACACCGAGCTACAAAACATATTGCCTCCTTTAAACACCTTTCGTATGCTTAAAGACTGTTAACTCTTAACCTGACAACTGAACGATGAGAAAAAGGAGACCTTATCGAACAATATAAAATCATGACCAAAATTGATAAAGTTAACTTTCACGTCCCTCGACTTCAACCTAACACGGAATCTTCAAACTACAGTTTTCGGCCGCGTGGACACACTAAAGTACTAAGAGCACAACTTGTCCGAAACTGCGCTGAAAGAAGCAACTTCTTCACCAACCGTATTGTAAGATTATGGAATTCATTAACCTAAAATGCGGTGGACGCAAAGAACTTGAACAATTTTAAACACGAACTTTCTCTGCTACGGCATCTTCACTTAAGCTAATGTGTATATATATATATATATATATATATATATATATATATATATATATATATATATATATATATATATATATATATATATATATATATATATATATATATATATATATATAATGAAAAATGTATGACAAGCAAAATAATAACTTCAAAAAAAGTTTTTTTTCTAAAAAGATTTGTAACAAAATATTATAAAATATATACTAGAGGCCGTTCAATGTTTCATAAATAGTGCTAGTTTTAAGTGCTGTTATGCAAAAAAAAAAATTATTTATTTTACTTCAAAAGTATAATTTTTAATCAATTAAGGTAATAATAATTGTAATAATAATTGTTGCTATTAGTTATCATTGTGTAATGTTTTTAAAACAGGAAGTGTTAGTTAAAAGTATCATTCTTTTGTTTATGCAAATGACTTACATACGACAATAAATTTTTACGTTCTAGAAAAGCAAAAAGCTGGAAAAACGGTTCCATCATTTTACTATTTATACGTTGGCAATCAAATCTGTCCGTTAAATGGCCAATCCTGCAACTCGATATATGACCGTTTGTGTCATTTCTCAAATTATTTGTTTTCCCAGTTCCATGCTGGTTGACCATTACACGATAAACATTTTAAATAATAAATGATATTCTTGCTGTTGCAAGTAACGTGACTTTTAATGTTCTAGATAGTGACATTGGATGTTACAAATTTTTTACCTCTGGCAGGTAAAATAGATAAATTTTGCAACAACATCATTACAATCAAATATTCCTATATTTTTATTGTTAGATGGTACGGAACTAAATTTAGCAGAAGTAAGTTGTCTCAGTAAATTTGGTGGTTGTTTGTAAACTATTACAGGATTAATATTAAAAAAAATTTGTTGTATTCTTTCTTTAGAGGATAGATTGAATAGAAAATTAGTTTTAGTTAGTATAGGCTGGCAGTTTATATTGTAGTAAAATGCAGTGATTAAAGGAAAGATTTCCTAAGCTTCCTTTTGTTGAGCTAGTCCTTGCAGTTTTACATTATGAAATGCTTTTTCAATAACATTGTCCGGGTTATTGCAATCTTATATATATATATATATATATATATATATATATATATATATATATATATATATATATATATATATATATATATATATATATATATATATATATATGTGTATATATATATATATATATATATATAGGGCCGGCGCGAGTAGGTGTCACGTGGGGGAGGGGGTGCTATTGCAACTTTTGCCGACTAAAAAAAAAAGGTCCTCGTTATTTCAATTTTTTTTTTTTGGAGGCTATTTTAGGTGCTCCCAGAAGTCCTTATGGTCTTATCGTAGAGCACTCCGGAAGAGCATTTAACTAGAAGTTCACGCCTCCTTTCTTACCAATGTCGCTTAGTTGGGCTAGAGCCGGCGTCGAACCACAAACCTCTGGGATCTGAGCCAAAACTCTAACCTCTGTGCCACGGCTACTTTGTCGACTGCTATATCGACAATTCTCTAACCGCTGCGCCACGGCAAATTTGCCGACTGCCATATAGATAATTGCCGAAATTTATCGACTAAGTTATCGAAATGGTCAACATTTGCCGACTGATTAGTCAAAAAAGGTCAAATTTGCCGACTAAATGAACGAAAAAATCATTGATGTGGGAGGGGGTGCGTATACGGTCAGACCCGGACAATGTTATTGTCCGGGTATGACTGTATAGGTAAGAAAAGAGGTGTGAACACGGTTAAATGCTTTTCCGCGGTGCCCTGTGATAAGAAAATTAAGACTTTTGGAGGATCTAAATAACTAATTAAAAAAAGTAAAAAAATCAGGTGAGAGGAAAGTTTCAACATAGTGGTTAATTTAGAAAAGTGTGCCCCAGCCTCTAACTTAGAAAGTCACTTTCAAACTAAGTATTTCAAACTAAGTAAAAACCTTTTTGCGTTTAAGTTAGCCATTTTTCACTTTAATTTGGCATTTGTTCATTTTAATTTGGCAATTTTCACTTTACAAATGAAGGTGAAATTTGCCAAATTAAAATGGAAAAATGTCAAATTAAAGTGAAAAAAATGTCAAATTAAAGTAAAAGTTAACCAACTTAAACGCAAAAAGATGTATTTTCATATAAAAACTGTTTTAATAATTCAAAATTTCTTTGAACTCTCCTAATATTAATATGGCAAATAAAAAAAAAAGTTATCACATTATATCGATTTAATATTAATATTTAATATTTATATATCGATTTAATATTTTGAATTGTTTCTTCATTCTTAAAAAAATTAATTAAAAAAAAAATTAATAGTAGTACTCCCATTTAGATTCAAATTATTATTAGTTTGAAATTTTGTTACTTTTATAATTTTATACTTTCATAATTATTTTTAGTTTGAAATTTTATACTTTTATAACTATTTTTAGTTTGAAATTTTATACTTTCATAATTTGGTGCAGATGATGACAGGGCAGTATTACGAATGGGGAAAGACGAATTTTTGTATTAACTCAACAAAAACAAATAAAAATAAAAATATATAAAAATAAAAATGGGTAGAGGTAAAAACTGTAATAAATTGCAGCTTATAGAGGCGAATCGACAACAAAATAAACAAAATATGATTTTAAGATGTGTTTCTTATTTACAAGATGTTTCAAATAATATTTATGTACAAAACAACAATAATAAGTTTATAAATTTAATAATATTGAAAAATAATACTTTATAAGCTGTTTATTGGTCACCTAGCTACCGTTTGTTATTTATTACTACTTTTTTATACCACGGTCTTTCTGAAGCAACCGCTAAACCATGTAACTTCATTTCGATTTCATCAGCTCTATTCCTTTCTTCAGCTAAAGCAAGCTTAGTGATAATTAATTCAGTTTCTAAATCTTTTAATTGCTGATCATTGTCATCTTTAGGAAATATGACAGGTGATACTGTGGGTGACGATCCTGGACTAGGATGGTGCAATATGTTTTGAGAACATTTTTCACAATTACTGAGCTGTTTCTAAAAATAGAACAGTTTATTTAAAATCTTGGTCACACAGGAGCAAAGAAGATTTTACAGATAATGATTGTATTAAAGTTGATAAAAGATTTGAAACCTTATATTAACTTTGATATGCAAAAAAAATTTAGATCTCTTCATCAGGCAAACTTAGATACTGAAAAAACAGATTTCTATAGCTGTTTTGCCTTTTAAAATGTGTTTAATGACAGAAATTTTGATTTTTAATTTTCTACTTGATTTTTCTTATTTTGAACCTTTTAGTTTTTTATTTATTTTTAAAAAATTTAACAAGTTTAAAAGTGACAAACTCAAAAATCCTATGACAATCGAATTTTGTACACAACTAAAACTACCATACTAATTTTGGTGCGTTTATCGATTGTCACTTTTGAGAAAAAAGATTTGAAGTTTTCATTTTTTTCACAAATTTTCATAAAATTTTGAGGCAAAGTAATTTACTCTTTTTTCTTTCAATTCTTAATTTTGTAATTATTGTTAATAATGGATTTTTTTAATTGTAAATATAACTTGGTATAAACTAACTTAAGTTACAAACTTAGTATTATTAAACTATTATTTAATTATATATTAATTAATTTAATAATTAAGTAAATTGGTATTTATTTGTATTAAAGGAGAATTTTTGTAACTCAATACATTAAAGTGGCACCATCTTAAATTATGAGTTAAAGTTGTACCACCTTAAATTATGAGTTAAAGTTGTACCATCTTAAATTATCAATTTAAGTAAATGTCCCTTTAACAACATTAAAACAAATTTTTAAACAAAAATTTTAAAGATAAAAAAAATAAAACAAACAAAAAACTACTGCAACTATTGAGATTTTGAACCAAAAACAACAAAGTTGATCAATATTAATAACATTTTGAACCAATATTAATAACACTTTCAATCAATATTAATAATATTTTCAACCAACATTAATAACATTTTGAACCAATATTTGTTACACCAATATTTCAAAATTCAACATTCAATATTTCAATATTTACAGTATTTCAACCAATATTTGTTAAATAGTTTTTAGCTTAAAAGGTTTTTTTAAACAAAATGCAATTAGATAGGATAGTGTTCTTGCAAAACAACAATAAAAAAATATTAAATTCAGGTTATCATAGCTAAAATACATATTTTTAAAAATTTTCAACATTAAGCTCCATGAGCCAAGTTTCTTTCCAACTGACAACTGCATTTATTTTTCTTTGTAATTTTTGTGAATTTCTTTTAAAAAGTTTTAATTACTACGGTAATTAAAACTTTTTAAAAGAAATTCACAAAATCTACGGTCTATGACTGTAGATTTTGGGGCACGTTAATCATTGACATAGATTTTGAGCTCACAAAATAAATGAAAGAATGATAGCTGCACACACACAAACACACACAGATATAAAAAATTAATGGAATACTTAGCATCGCTCAAAGTAAGTCAAACTTTTGTTTTACACATAGCTTTTTTTTGGTATACTAATTTTTATTTATAATTGTTTAAAAACACTTTTTTAACAACAAAAAACAAAAATAAGCGAAAAAACCTTAATAAAAAAGCTAGTACAAACCTTTATTTGCAATAACTCAGATTGTAATTCTTTTTTTTCCTGTTCAAATCTGGACTCTGATTGCGATAGAATCTATATAAAGCAAATAAATTATTTAAAAAAAAAAAAATTGTTTGAATGTATAACTGTAAGAATCAACTTATCAGTATATTTATTTGTATTTGTACAAAGATCTTTTAAAACTTAAATGAAATGTTTTTACACAAACATCCCTGTATACTTGAATGAAATACGGTTAATGATCTCATTAGTGACCAAAATTTCTATTTTGGTACATATTTCTGCTGAAATTTTAATTTGAACTGATTTTAAGAAATTCTGTACTGATATCAGTTTCTGCTGAAATTTCTATCTGAACCAAAACTGAAATTTTGGTTTCAGTTTAAATTTGGTTATTTTTATAGATTTTTCGAGCAATTTTATTTTTATATTATTTAATTATGACTATTAATTTATTGTTATACAAAAGAAGTTATTAAAAAAAACAAAAAAAAAATGTAAAAAAAAACAAACAAATCTAAATAAATAAATGATAACATTTCTAATGAAATTAATTTTGTTTAGCCATTATTTCGGTTTTAGTTTCAGAATAATATTTGCCAGAGTGTTGGTTTTGGTATTGAACTAGTATACTAAAATTTCAGTTTATTTTGGTTTCGGCGTGTTTCTTGTTATGGTTGATCACTAGATCTCAAGCAGAAAGGCTCAAGATTCAGTTACATCTTTTGCATCTTGAGGTATCTCAAGATAAATGATTTAAGCTTTCTACTGAAAAAACTTTGTATTATTACTTCCTATTTATTAAAGTATGTAATACAATTTATACATTTAAAACAAATTTAAATAATTAAATATAAAATAACTTTAATTTTTTACTTGTTTATAATCGTGTATTATCTTTTCACGCTTTTCTTTTTCTGTATCCGATCTAAATGTACTATCACGCCACATTTCTTTAACCTATAATATAAACTTTTAAAATGCACAAAAGTCAAAAAATACTTGTTGACATCAAAAAAATTATGTCTGGTATGTCTGACATAGTGCTTCATAAGTCTAGTGCTGCACTATCAAAAATATTATATCAGAATTAAATTTTGTAGATAAATATTTGCGAGTATTTGCAGCAAAAACTTTAAAACAGCTTCAAATTTAATAAGCATTCTAAAAATATTCTTAAAGAGATCCGAAAGTACCGAGACAAGTTCTGTTCATATTAAAGAGAATGATAAAAAAATTTTTTTTGAGTAAAACAAAATAATAAAGATATACCAAGAAAAACTAACTTTGTTGTTTTATTTGAAGCTTGCTGTCTCCATGTTAGCCAGTTTCTATGAATCTTTAAAATGTATGCCACAATCTACAGACTTTACAATCTATTCAAGCGCGTTTAACTCCAAAGAGTTTTTTAGTATATGACGCCATTGTAGGATTTTTTTTTTTTAAATTAATATTAATTGTTTTTGTTTTATTTGTTTTTAATAAAAAGCGTTTATCCTCAATCGCATGACTTTCATTTAAATTTTATAATAAGCTAAACAAATAAACAAAAACTAATGTTTTATGGAATTAATTCAAGACAGAAGGCAATTAAAATTGTTAATGAGATACAGTGCGCGTTAAAAAACATATTAAATTTAATATTTCTCGATTTATGTTGTATTAGTCTCTTAACATTACAATTCAAAAAACTACTAAAAAAAAAATCGACAACAAAAAGTTTTTTGTTAAGCAAATTAATTTTAAAATTGGTTTAATAATGCTACACTTTTTTTACAATCTTTAGCAATAATTGTTTAATTTTCGAGAATATTTGTACTCGATGAAAATTAAGCAAATAAAAGCTGTTTAACTGTTTAAAGGTTAAATAATTTGCTACCAACTGTTTTAACAAATATCTTTTCGCTGCGACCGCACATTTTTTTGAATAAAATTTAGATAGCATTTATAATTACTAAGCTAAATAATTATACACTTCTACAAGATAAATTTTACAGTGTTAAAGCTGCTTTATTTTAGACCTAAATTTAAAGAAGTTATTTTTAACAAAGATTATTTAAGACTTTTTAACTTTGTCAAGTGATAACTATTTATAATTACAAAATATAGCTCTTATATGTAGAGAATTAATTAAACCTTAAGAAAAAACAAATTATATGTGTCTGAGCTGATACCAGTGGCTTGCAGTCAAAAATTAAAAGCTGCTGTCAGCGACTTGCGTTAGTGAAAGAGTAAATAATACAAAATAATTTTTTTAACAGAATCTTATTAAAGATAATAATCATTTAATAACAATAAATACTTTATAGAAACAGACAAACTTAAAATTTTATTCATATTTTTAATGCAAACTTGATGAAAAAAAAACTTTTCTATAATAATAAATAACTAAACAGATTCTTTAGTATTCTAGGATGAATTAAAAATCTATAATTTGATGAACAAAAGAATTTTTAGCTTTCTTATTGTAATTTTACAATGATGTCATATACTAAAACTTTTTAGAATTAAACGCAATTGAATAATTAATAAAGTCTGTAAATTGTGGCAAATATTTTAAAGACTTATTATTTTATTATTTTTGGAAAACTTTTATTATTTTGTTTTACTCCAAAAAAACTTGTTATCATTCTCTTTAATATGAACACAACTTGTCTCAGCATTTTGATACCCCTTTAATTAATTGCAAAAAAAATTATTTGTGAGGTAATATTAAACCATACATTTTAGGTCTCTATGGATGAACTTTATGTGCCTCACAAACATATCAGATGCCTGACATTTAACCATAGAGACCTAATGAATGTTGCTAAAATTAAGACCACATATTCTTTATTTAAAATGGTTTAATAAATCATAACTATTTCCTATATAAGGTAGGGCTGTACCGGATTTAATTTTTCTAAATCCGGTTGGAGCCGGATTTGCCGGATTTGCCGGATCCGGCCAGAATTGGAGCTGGATTTCGAAGCAAAACTATAGGAGCCGAAATCCTGTACATCCCTACTTGGTACTGAAAATGGTCAACAATGTTGACTATTTAGATCACCAAGAGACAGTTGTTTTCTATTAAACATCATTTTTGTTGTTTAAAAGTTTTATAGCAATTTCTATAGAAATTAATAGACATTTTATATAAATTCTATAGAGTTTCTATAGGCCACATGTTTCAAAAATTTAGAGAAATTCTATAGAACTTTTTTTTCCGGGATGTTGTCACTCCGCCACTGTAGTGAATCAACGTGTCTATATATTTCTGATACTTCCAGATATTGGCTTAGCTGAGTGTCAATGCCTGTTGGTAATTGTTGTTCATGTGCTGTGCCACAAGCGGGCGTAGACTGAATAATTTCATCTATATATATTGCCATTGTAATTATGATAATGTATAAGAATTATCCAACCGGGATTGCTTTGCTGGATTTTCTTTAGTTTTGTCAATCTGCTGCTCAGCATGCGCATTCACTTCAATCTTGCTTTTTCACCAGTCAGTGTTACCTGTAATGAGAAGAATTTAGTTTAAAATTATGGATCAACCAGTGTCACCACTATATAAAAAGGTAATGCCTTTAAAACGCACATCCAATGACTTGATTATGATTGACTTCATAGTCTTTACAACTACATTATTGCAGAATATCCTGTGCCTTCTCTTCAGAATTTTTTGTTGCGTTGTTGTTTGAAATTAGGCTTAGCTAATTAAATTGTAAAGAAATGTAAATACAGATACCAAAACAAACATGATATTCATAGACTATAGAATTACTAAAAACATTGATTTGTAAAAATCAAATATTAAGTATACATGTTATCACAGGCAAAAAAGATGTAATAAATATCTGACCAAAATTCAGAAATCCGGCCAAAATTGTGCCAGATTTGTAACATTTTGACGGAGCCGGATTTGGGCCGGATTCGTAAAAATGGCCGGATTTCGGCCAGAGCAGGAGCCAGAGCCGAAATTCGGTACAGCCCTAATATAAGGAATCCAATTAAATAACTTTAACATTTTTTTTTTCGAAGATTTTTTGAAGAATTTTGAGTGATTCATCACAGAACAAGCCAATGAGACAGATTTAGTTGTTTTTTAATTATAGCTTTGAAATGAAACTTTGTTGATAGTAATAAAACCTTGTTTAGTCTATTTCTGATATTAGTCACTTTCATAATAATATATGATTGCACAAATATAAAACGAACATGGTTGGTTTTATTTTTAAGATACCAAAATTTCAAATGATTTTCATCCAAGAGTTCATTAATGTCTTCAACAGTTAAATAAATGCTTGATATAGTTGTTAGTTTTTTTTTTAAATTCTGGTGTTTAGTGATTGTTCTTCCAAAAAATATATTATAGAAACTATAAATCCAGCTTGACCAGCTCTTGCAGTTAAACCTAATTTTTGGTATATTCTTTTAGCATTATGATGTCTAGTGTTGCATTATGAAGTCTAGTGTTGCATTATGAAGTCTAGTGTTGCATTGTGAAGTCTAGTGTTGCATGATGAAGTCTAGCGTTGCATCGTGAAGTCTCATGTTCCATCCTGAAGTCTAATGTTGCATAATGAGAAAAAAAGTAATACTAAATTTAAACTTGAATTATATAAATTTTATTCCTAAAACTCTAAAAACCTTTAAAAAAACCATATGTTGCTATTCTTTCTCTAAAAAAATTGCTGTTTATAATTAATTTAATTTAATATAAACAGCTTTTTATATAAAAAATTGATTATTAAGTATAAATAAATTCATATTATAAAAATAGATACCATTAAATCTTTTTTTTAAGTTAATACAAAATAAACTGACTATTAAAATATAGTTGAATTATTTATATTTGAATATAAAAATAATAGATATAAATTAATATTTAAAATAACACATACACATATCTCTTCCATTTTTAATCTATTTATTTCTTCTTCATATTCTGCTAACAAACATTTTAACTTTTCAGATTCTTTGGTCAAATTGTTGATTTTCTCTTCACGCTAATGATGTATAATAAAATATTTAGTAATTTATATACATATATACATATATATACATATATATATATATAAATATATATACATATATATATATATATATATATATATATATATATATATATATATATATATATATATATATATATATATATATATATATATATATATATATATATATACTTGTAGCATATATACTATATATGCTATAAATACTTTAAATTATGAATTTAAATGTCATAATTTAAACAGCTGCAAAATAATTAAAAAGTCTATAACTCAGTAAATAACAGCCTAGAATAGTAATAACATGTTTAATGTGTACAGCTCCTGGTGTCATACACAATAAACAAATAATTATTATCATAAATGAAAATGAAATTGTAAAGAATGAATTCAAATTTTTATAGCTGTTTTAAATGTTGCAGTGAAAACACAAAATTAAGTTTGAGTAATTACTTTTTATATCAAATATTGATATTTAAAACGGATACAGATCTGATTATCTTGAATGATGCTGTCAAAAGATGTGCAGTACAAACTTCAAAAGCCTACATCATGCCAGATTTTTTTGAAAGGAATATATTTCATGAAGGTGTTCCTCCTATTGGATAACATTCTCAACCTCAATGCCCAAAGAACAAAGAAATCAAAGATATGGCCTTCTTTACTGCAGTGTTTTTCACTGAATGATTTCTCAAGGCAGAAATTCCAGCAATCCTTCCCTCTAAGGGTTTTTTTATTGTAATTTTTTATTACTTATTGTTCAAAACATTTTAAAGTTTAAATAAAAACAAAACTTTTTTGTAAATCTAAAAAGTTTTGCAATCTAAAAATTATTTCTTAGAATATGAAAATATTTTTATGGATATGAAAGCTCTGTGCAGATGAAAAGGTACTCTAATGTCAAATGTGAGCAGGCAAAACCTGTGATTGACTCACCAAAGAGACACACTTGGTAGATTGATCCTATTACTGTGATTGACTCACCAAAGAGACACACTTGATACATTGATCCTATTACTGTTGTATTGTCTCTGGCTGTTGAAGAGATCCATGAAGCTGTATTCCATGTCAAGGCCTGAGAATTATGTTGTATACAGGCATTAGGTGCTTCTTAAAATGCTTATCAATAGAAATCTTAGTCAGGATGATGCTTCTAGCTAGGTTTCACAGATAACTGAATAGAGTTGTAAGGTTCAAATTAAGTGATCGCAAATTGCGATATCTGAAAATACTTCTGGTCTATATATTTAAATATATGAATTAATATTATTTCATTTATATAATATATAAATGAAATAATGATGTAAACACCATATTATTACTATTACTTTTATTATTAATTTTAATATCAATAAAAAATTATGTTTTAAACTTTAATATTTTGATTCATTTGATAAAACTAGAAAAATAAAGCATACATAAGATCTAATATTATAAAACAACTACAAATCACAACAGTCTGCAGGAATTTAGTAGTGATCAAATATTTTAAATAAAAGAAATCGCGAAATAAGATATGAAATACTTTTATATCTTATTTAAGTATTTTTCAATATTTTTTTTATAAATCAAATATAACTGTCTAGCTAAATGTTCATAACACATAAAAACTAATTTAAACTACTTATAATTACTTTAAAACAAAACAACAGAATAACTCATTTAAAAACACTCTTTTCATTGTTTTTATTGTCAATTATTATTAATTATTTTATTATTAATTAACTTCTAGTTTAAATTTAAACTATCTAAATTTTGGAAATAACTACCCAAAGTTTCCCCCAAAAGAAAAGTCAATCTTAATGTTTCATATAATGCACAAATAGCTTTAATATAATTTGGTATTGGTCAATTTTTAAAATACTGCATAAATTTTTCGGACCTTTAGTAACTTTTTTTATTTATTTATAATAATCAAATTACCTTGTGTTTAAACAACTAATAATTTTAAAAAATGTAAGTATTGACTTTTTATTATTTTTGCATAAATTTATTAATTTGATTTATTATTAATTTTGCAATTAATTCACGAATTTATTTCAGAAAATGTAGTTGTTTGACTGTCCCGTTATTTATACAAATGAAGCTTAACCTTGGATTTTAATTTAATTCTTATGCATAAAACTGCCCAAAAAAATTTACTTTTAAAAAAATGGTCTATGGGAAGGGTCCCCATAATTTGACTGAAAAAAGGCTCTAAAATTGGTCTAAAAATGAACTTTGGGTTCAATTTTTTTAACCTTTTCAGTAATCATGGTTCAGCAGCCTAACATTTTAAATTATATCATATATATTGTAATATCTTTTTAATATTGCATATATTAAACCTTTTTAATATTGTAAATATACCTTTTAATATATCGCAATCATATTACGGTGGCATAATAAAATGGCAATGACATCATTATTGCAGCCCTCGGAACAACCTAGCTGCTGACCTTAAAATATTTGATGTCAGAGTAAAAAATCGTCGACCTTTGTTTCTATGTTTTATAGTAATCCCTTTGTGTCAAACTTTTTTTGCCGACCTGATGCCAACCTCTAACAGTTTAAGGTTGGTAATTAATTGTCGACCTCATTTTTTCCTAATTCCGAGGGTTGTTACTATAATTACAAAAAAAAATTTATTATATTAAATTAAATTAAGTGGTATTTGATAATTAAAATATACATACATCCAATATAGTTTCTTGAGTTGATACTTGAGTAGTAACAATTTCTAAGGCTAGGATGTCGTTTTCACGTTCTAATCTTAAATATTCCGTAGTAATTCGATGGTTTTCTCTCTTTAAAAGTAATACAAATGTATAAAACATTAAATTAAACTTTACAAACTTTTTTATTATTATTAACTATAACAAAAAGCTAGTTAATAAATTTATAAAACTGTATTAAAAGAAAAATAGTTACACTATTAGTGCATTAAACAGAAAATTATCAATAACAACAAAAAATACCTGTATATTAAATATGAAACCAATATTAAATTATAAACATCTTTTACAAGATATAAGACATAAAATTTTCACCATTAGAGTAATAAACATTAGAAAACAATAGCAAAACAAATAATAATAGAGAGGCAGTTAGTTACCAATTCAAAATGGATTTTTTAATACCTTAATTTAACTAAAACTATTTTGTTTGTTTTAACTTTTACATTTAATAACTCCACATAGTTTATACTCATATACTCTATGTAGTTCTGAATTATCACTAAATGTGCAGCATTATACACTGAATTCTATCCTATTGTTGTATAAAAAATAAAAAGAAACCTTTAAATATGTTATTGGATCTTCTTTTTCTGCTTCCTCTTTTTTCATTTTCATAAATTCTTCTTTCAGCGACATTAACTGTTTTTTTGAAATCTGTAATAAAAAGGAGTACTTTATAACTATTTAAAATCAATTTCAAAATATAAAATGAAAAAGTTAATAAAAAATTTAAAAAATCATTGCTACATTAAAAATCATTTTTCAAAATAATTTTTGGGAAAAAAACGAACATAGTTACCTTAAAACTAAAAGCAACATCTATTAACTCTTTAATATTTTCTTCATTTATATATTTTTTTGGCAAACCAACACGAAAATACTTCATTATGCCTTCAAAATTCAATGCAAGAAGTTCTCGTTTTGAATGCTATAACATTTTAAACACAAGCAATTTAAGCATTGCATATAACAATATTTCCATTTACATATAACATACATATAATAATACTTGCATTTACATTATATATAACAATACAACGTGTATACATACACACATATAAAGAAAGAAAGAGAGAAAAAGTGAAAGTGTTTGAGAGAGAGAAAAAAGAGAAACAAAGAAACATATACTAATTACTGCAAACTTAAGTCTACACAAAATATGACAGGTAATGTCATGCTGAAATATAGTTAGACAAGACTTCAATACATGCAAATATTTTTTTTATACTTTTTTTTACCTTTAACTGCGGGTTAGGAAAGTAACTGTAAATATAGTAAATAATTATGAGACTTAAATAATGAATGTAACATGTGGTGTCTTACAGGGATCCATAGTTAGAATTATCAAAAATATTCAATTGTTCTTCTTTTTTTTCCTTCTTCTGAAATAAAAATATATGGACTAAGATATGGACTTTGAAAATTAAAATGCATAGAATATATTAGTTGTGCAGACCTAAACACATGGTAGAAATTTTTGCTAAAAGTACAAAAGAAGTAAAATTATAAATTTAAAAAAAAAAAAACTTATTACACTATGTGCTACAATTTTTGTCCTTTAAAGTGTTGTATTTCAATTGCTTACATCTTACACAAGACTGTGGAAAACAACTACATTGTACAACTATATTGACTGTAGAAAACAACTACAATGAGCACAAACATTGATTTCTTGAGCACAGCACACAGAAAATTTGTTTTTATTAAGACAGAACATAAAAATTTTTATAATTTCAGTTAGTCTGGTAAAAAAACAATAACTCCATATTGAATAGACGAAGGCAGTAAAAAATTACTCAAAAAACTTCATAAAATAGTGTCCTCATGTTTTTATTATACCAATATGTTTTAATGAAAGTTCTTCCTTCACTCTAAGCTCCTATAATGTCCATGAATTTATTGAGATGAGCATTAAAGATATGAACTTTGACATTTGCATCCTATTTTGGCATAATTCTTTATAAGAATCTAAACCAATCCCACATAATTTTCAGCATTGCGACTACCCAGAAAATTCAAACCGCTCACCAAAAATCTTAAAACTAATATAGTCTTTCTTGAGATGCACATTTGAGTGAGCATTTTGAATAGACAGATAGTTGTTTTAATTTGTGAAGCAACGCAACTTGACACTCAGGGATAAACTGTTTTTATATAGGAACCATTCATATCAGAGGCTCAGCATTCAACTTGGTAAGACATAGGTCTCTGATTAGATTGTTGAGATCTCTTAGTTAGGGAAATATGACCTCCTCTCTTGGACTGCACTAGTGAAACTTTTATTTGTATCTCCAGTATCGGATATTCTGCTTTCTCCAGAAGCTAGGTGATTCCTATTAGGGAAAGTTGGAACAGGCAACTCAGGGCTTATACTATACTGGGGCAATAAAAACGACTGGATAAACATTGCCTAAGCAAAACTTTGTGGGATCAACAATATTAGTTTGAGTGGCCTGTTGGTTGTTGTCAAACTTGTGATATAGAAAACTTCATAGCTCTTTTTTCTTTTAGAAAAACATATATAATTTGATAAAATGTGAAGACATGAAATTTCACACATAACTTAATAAAGGATGTAATATTAACATACAACATATTTTGCTATAGTACACCAATATATATCGAAACTTTGTTGATAGCAACTTCTTGAAATGGAAGCCTTGTTTTAAAGCATTACACGGCCAGCAATTTACAAACACGTGAAGCTAATTTAAGTACGCCTAAAGCGATTTCTATTAAGCAATTTTTGATCATTTAACTTGTAAATTAGTCAATAGGCGGTCAATAAAAGAAGTAACTAATTTTATAAAAAACCACTTTAACATTTAAATGACGATTGTGTAAAAAAGTTTGAATAGCAATTATGTTAGATATAAGCGCTATTTAAAAATGAAAAAAATTCAGATAACATTATATTATTACCTCAATTAAGCTAATTATTTTATCAAAATATTTAGTAACAGAAAACAAAATTTTTTAAAGTTAACAATTTTTTTTTTGTATACAAAGTTATTAAATGAAACTTAAAAAAAAACAACCATAAAAGAAATATATATAATAAAAACTTTTATTTATCATCTTGGGAGCACAAGAATATTCATACAACTTTTGATTGCAATAAAAAAAATTTACTTAAATTTCTATTCAATAATAAAAAAATAAACTAAAATAAAAAAATTAATTTATATTATCTTAATTTTATGATATTTTACTTTTATTTTTTTATTTTTTCTATTTTATAATAATAATAATTCAAATGCTATTGAGATACAGTGCCAGGCAATATCTATGACAGTCGACACAATAGTTGTCTAAAAAATTAAACTGCAAACTGTTTTTCTTGTTCAATACTATTTGCAAGTCAATCAGCTCAAGTCTGGATTTAAATTCTTTGACTGATGTAGACTCCACTACCGATTCTGGTAAATCCAAAGACAACCCTGTTTGTGAAGAAGTGTTGTCTACTTGAACAACTTTTAACAAACTCTGATTTAACACGATGTTTATAAACTCTAATATTAGGTTCTAATATTAGGTTAGGCGCCATTTTAGTTTATTTGTAATAATAATAACCAGATCTTTTTCTATTTTTGTTTCTTTTAGTACTATATGTTCATTATTATTATTCATATTTATCATGTAATATTTGAATTTTTTGACAAACAATTTTTTTTGCAATTTTTTGAAAAAAATGTTAAAACAATTTAAAAATATTATATTTTTTTCTTTTCAATAATTTAAATAAAATTTGTTTATTTATTAAACAATCATAAACTCTATGTTTATAACTCTAATATTGGATGCTGGACCTGGTGTATTGATTGAATGCATTTGTATCTGGACTTTCTTCATATCAATAGATTCAAAACCTTTATATAATTTATATTGTTGTATATAAGGTCACCTCTTAGTCTTCTAATTTCTAAAGTTGTTAAATCTAATATTTTTATTCTTTGATTATATCCCAGATGTCTTAATTCTGGTATCAATTTAGAAATGCTTTTGAACTTTTTCAAGTTCTTTAATATCTTTTTTATGATTGAGATTCCAAGCTTGAATTGCAAACTCCAAATGAGGTCTAACATACGTGTAATAAAGCATTTTCATGAGGTACTTATCTTTATACCTAAAAGTATTATTTAATATTGTAAGCATACTGTTTGCTTTACTGGCAGCACTCCTTACTTATTTTTCCCATTTCAAATCCTTGGATATATAAATACCTAAATCTTTTTCAAGAGTAGATTTTTCAATTTCTTTTAGTTCACCATCATTTATCATGAAATAAGAATATCTTTCATTACTTGCACCAAAATGCATTATTTTACATTTCTCGAAATTCAAACCCAGTTTCCATTCAACAGACCATTCATCAAGTTTTTTTTATGTCATTTTAAAATGACTTTGAATAAACCTCGGTATAAATATGAGCAATTATTTTATTGTCATCGGCATACAAACAAAATTTATTAGGAAGTCTACTTGGTAAACCTATAATGAATATCATGAAAAGGAGTGGGCCAAGTACAAAACCCTGAGGTACTCCACTTAACACATCAACCCAATTTGACTTGTATTTTCTCATCACTACTCATTGTTTCCTATTCAATAAGAATGATTCAATCCATTTAAGAAACATACCAACAATAACAGAAGCATAAACCTTAGCACATAATTTTATGTGTGACTACTACTCTGTCAAATGCTTTTCGGTATACAAAACATCAATTGGAATACCATTTAATAATGTGCTTGTTATGGTATCAAGAAATTCTAGTAAATTTGTTGTGCGGCTCTTACCTTTAAGAAAACCATGCTGTTCCTTTGCTAATAGCTTGTTTGTTATTAAATACTTGATTATATTATCAGCAACTCTTCTTTCTAATATTTTGCATGGTATTGATGTCAGAGATACTGGTCTGTAATTTGTTGGTTTCAATTTACTCCCTTGTTTCAATATAGGAATTATATTAGCTTCATTCCAAATATCTGGTACAGTACCATCTTCTGTAGATTTTTTAAACATTAAATAAAGAGGATATGAAATTTATGTACTGCATTGTTTTAGAGCAAAAGGATGTACTAAATCAACTCCAATTGATTTTGATATATCAAGAGCCTTTAATCTTCTTTCTATATCATTTTGTGTTATCTCGGCAGCTTCTAATATCGTGTTTGGTTAACTATTTTTAATATTTTTGTTTACACCTTTATCTTCTACATATACAAAATGAAAATATTTGTTAAATTCTTCAACAATAGCCATTTGATCAGTGACAATTTTTCTGTCACTGTTCTCGATTGATGTAATTTGGTTTTTACCATTTTTTTCTCAATAATATACGTATAAAGTAACTTTGGATTTATTGCAATGAATAATTTTTTCATTTAAAAAATGCTAAACATCAAGCTTGAAGCAAAGATCATAATAAATATATAATTTAATTCTGATAAAAAATATGACTTAATTTAAAACTGATTTAATAAAATTTAATAATAATAATAATAATAATTACTGTTATATATTTTTTTTTATAAGAATAAAACTATATATTTTTATTAAATTATTTTTAATTAAATCATATTTTTTATCAGAACTAAATTATATATTTATCATGATCTTCGCTTTAAGCTTGATGTTTAATAATAAATATAATTTTATTTTGATTCAAAAAATATATAACTTAATTTTAATTTTAAAAATATATTTAAGTTCAACAAAATCAAAGTTAATGCTTGGGTTTAGCTTAACTGTCAAATTGATTTAAAAATATTACTAAATATTGTTCAATATTTAAACTTTATTTATTCTTAAAAAAAATTAGCTCATTTTTATTACAAAAAAATATTCAGTTTTCCTTCGTAAACATTTTTTTTTTATCAAAAATTAAATTCCTCGTAAATGTGTCTGCATCAAAAATTTGCACA